TACTCTGGGTTAAGCAGTTAGAGCCTGGCACCTCTGCCCAAAAGGCGGAGCTCATTGCTTTGACTGAGGTGCTAAAACTAGCCATGGGAAAGAGGGTAAACATCTGTACTGACAGTAGATATGCTTTTGCTACTATACTTGTACATGGAGCCATCTATCAGGAGCGAGGTCTCTTAACCTTGGCTAGGACTAAGATTAAAAATGCTCCACAGATTCTAGACTTGCTGGCAGCTGTCTGGCTACCTCAGCGTGTTGCTATTATTCATTGCAAGGCTCACCAGACAGGAGATGACCCTGTCACCTTAGGAAACAGTTTGGCAGATCAAGCTGCTCGAAAAATAGCAACCACATCAGAGGGGCCAACCAAGGAACTGCTCTGATGCTAGTCCCTCCGACCTTGTCAGAACCAGTCTACACAAAGAAAGACCTACAGTTAGCATCTCAACTTAAAGTCCCCCACCCCCGGGGACTGGTACCAGTTACCTGATAAATGAGTACTGTTACCGGAGGCACTAGGGCGGGAGCTGTTACACTGGGCTCACCAGACTACCCAATTAGGGAGAACTAAACTTGTGGAATTGTTCAGAACTCGGTTTTTTATTCCAAAACTCTGCGAAATGACCACCTCTTTGAGCTCCAGATACCCACAGTGCTTGTTAGTCAATTCAGCCATGCGCTCTACGCTGGAGACCACCCAACATCGAGGAATTGTTCCAGGAGGACATTGGGAAGTAGCCTTCATGGACATGGTAAAGCCTAGTTTACAGGGGCATCGCTATCTCTTGGTATTAGTAGATACCTTCACGGTCTGGGTAGAGGCTTTCCCTACTAAGTCAGCCTTAGTGGTAGTTAAAAAGCTATTGTATGAGATCATACCTCAATTTGACCTCCCACTATCAATGGGTTCTGATAATGGCCCGGATTTTATAGCCCAAGTCACCCAAAAGTTAGCCCAGGCATTAAAGATTAATTAAAAACTCCACTGTGCCTAGCGGCCACAAAGCTCAGGACAAGTAGAGCACATGAACTGGACTATCAAGGATATTTTAGCTAAATTGTCCTTGGAAACTGGCGATAATTGGGTAAGCCTTCTTCCTTTTGCACTATTAAGAGCTAGATGTACCCCATATGTTTCTGGAATTTCCCCCTTTGAAGCCATGTTCGGGAGGACCCCGCCATTGGTTCCAAGATTGCCAGAAGATAAACTAGCTGAAATAACTAATCAGGATCTCATTAAGTCCCAGCAGACTCTCCAATCCATGTTGACTTCAATCCACCAGCTGTTTAGACAAAAACACCCGGATCTGCCTTCAGAGACATCCCCCAAGGCACCGATCAAGCCGGGGACTCCAGTCTTGGTGTGACGCCACCACCGTGATTCCCTTGAACCCTGCTGGGAAGGACCTTTCACCATGGTGCTCAGCACTCTCACCACTGTCAAGGTAGCAGGAAAGTCTGCGTGGATTCACCATACCCACGTCAAACCACTGGAAGCAACAGACAGCGAGGAGTGTTCTCAATGGACTGTACAGCAGACTGGTAACACCTTAAAGTTAAAATTGACTAACGCATAGTTAGATTTTTTTCTTTTTCTTTTTTATCAGTACCGGGGATTGAACTCACGACTGCCTGCTTGCAAGGCAGGTGCTTATGCCACTGAGCTAAATCCCCAGCCCCCCAAAGCATGGTTAGATTATGCCAGGCATGAACTGCTTTAGCTTGCTTGCTTTGATTTTAATAACATTGATGCCGACCATGCATGGTGGCTTTGGTCCCCCTGTAAGCAAAGAACAGTTGTTAAGATCTTTGTATGGGAGCCCCTGTGATTGTGCAGAGGGCTATATTACTAAAGGTAAAGACACCAACTGGGGGGGAATTATACATACAGTAGGAAACAAGGATCGAGATCCTTTACACACAAATGATAAATTGAAATACATACAGTCTTCGGACAGATTGTGGGGACAAGTTTACATTCCTTGTTGCTATACCGTCAGTTACAGGGGTTTGACTCAAAGGTAGATGCGTACGTTTAAAGCCTCACGTGATACCTAACAAAGCAGCTAATAAAAAGAATTGTTCTTAGTATTCAGAATTGTACTCCTCCTGCTATGACTCTGTACAAGAATGTATAGGCATAGATAGAAAAACTTACTTCACTGCTGAGCTTATGAGGACACAGGCTGGAAGTGTTGGAGGTGATTGGTCTACCAATCCGACAGTAATAGAAAGTTGAAAGTATGCCCAAGCCTCACGTCTCGGCACGGTTGGTAAATCCGTGTGCTGGAGCAGGGTGGCCCCTATACATGTGTCTGATGGGGGTAGCCCACAAGATAAGATAAAAAAACTCATGGTTGAGGAATGAGTCAAGCAGCTAATAAAAATAATGTTTCCCCAGATACATTACCACCCCTTGATGCTGCCTAAATCACGGGGAGTTGATCTGGATGCTCAAACTTCTGATATTCTAGAGGCCACTCATAAAGCCTTAAATGCTTCCAACCCAACTTTGGCTGAAGATGGCTGGTTATGCACGGCACAGGGCTCCCCTATACCCCTTGCAAGCCCCACTAGTGTTTCTCTGACTACACTAGAGGAACAAGATTACTTAAATTGTAGTGCTGGTCTGCCCTTTTAGAGTACAACCAGTAGGCTTCAAGGACTCTCTCTGTCTCCAAGGAGGTTTTCATAACGATACCTCCAACACTGATGTGGGGTTCGTTGCATTTACTAATTGTAGTTCCATAGTTAAGCAGACTACCTCCCTTTATCCTGCCTAAGGGCAAGTATTTATTTGTGGAGGAAATATGGCCTATACTTTCCTCCCAACTAACTGGAGAGGGGTATGTGTAACAGCGGTCCTATTGCCTGATACAGAGATCCTACCTGGGGATGAGCCTGTCCCCATTCCTAGTTTAGATTACATTACAGACTGCTCAAAGAGGGCAGTTCAATTTATTCCTTTATTGGTAGGCCTAGGAATATCAGGAGCCTTAGGTATGGGGGCAGAAGGAGTAGGGGTTTCTGTCCAACTTTCTTTTTTACCGGTACCAGGGATCGAACTCACAACCATGCACTTACAAGGCAGGCGCTTATGCCGCTGAGCTAAATCCCCAGCCCCTCTGTCCAACTTTCCAAGCCGATTGTTAGTGATATGCAGGCATTATCTAGTACCATTCAGGTCATTCAAGACCAAATAGACTCATTGGCTGAATCAGTTCTCCAAAACAGAAGGGGACTAGACCTCCTAATGGCAGAACAAGGAGGGATCTGTGCGGCATTGCAGAAATGAGGCTGCTTTTATGTAAATAAGTCTGGCATTGTCTGAGGTAAAATCAAGAGACTACAGGAAGACCTAGTTAAAAGGAGGAGAGAGCTATTTAAAACCCTTTATGGAGTGTCTAACCTGGAATCCTGCCCTATCTCCTGCCCTTGCTTGGACCATTGTTAGGAGTACTGCTCTTGGTCACAGAAGGTCCTTGTATAATCAATGGAATAATTGGATATGCCAGACAACAAATGCAAAGCAAAAAGTTGATGTTATGCCACCATGCCTATGAACCAGTACCTCAAAATCCTTAAAAATTACGTCAAAGATTTGACCTCAGTCATACAGCAGAGGTGAATTTTATATCCTAGTTTTAACCCTTGTGCCTCATTTGTGTTTTCTATGTGCCACTCAGACCCCCACTTCCTATCTTTCTAGGTTAAATTTCAATTTCCTGAGAAAGCTGTACAGCCTTAGGTATCAGTTTCCTATAACCCCCTCCCCTACCCCTCATCCGGCTATCTGTAATAAAATGGGCTGTTTTTAAGAACTGCTCTCCTCCGTAAAAATTGTAAAATCTTACCTACTTGCTATGTTAACCTTGTTGCCCTCTACAAATAACAGATGTGGTGCTAAAATAAGGTAACAGGATTTTAATTACTGCTAGACTTCTCTATTCTCTGCTAAGAGAAAGAAGATGTTTGCCCAATCTAAACTTGCTTGTATGCAGGGAGACTTGCTTGTTAGCCCAACCCTTATCTGAACTTTGCTCTTCCCAATGAAATCACCGCCCTGCTGTCCTATAGTGTGCCGAGTCCCCCTCCTTGCATTGTGAGACCAGTAGCTGTTTGCGATTTTACAAGATAAAAGCCCTGACTTTGACCTGTCAGGTGCACAGTCTCCCAAAGTGGCTCCTGGAGACTGTGTCACCAGGCCTGGCCTAAAATAAAGCCTTTGGCCCCAAATTTTAATTTCTTGATTCACTGGATTTTATTCCAGGTTCCGAGCTATCACACCGAGCTAGGGCTGCTGGTTTTTTTTCCAAATCCATTTTATTTCAAGGAGAAAAAAAACAAAATCTCAAACCACATCAATCTACATATATCCTTCTACAGTGCTGCACGTCAGGCGGCTGAGATGAGCTTCTTGGGCATCAAGATGTCCAAAGGACTGGCCACAACACAGATGTGCGAGAAGGTGGTCCTTGCTGCCTAGGGCTTCTGGGGATGCCATCTGCTCACTGTAACCCCATTACTCTGGTGTCTACCACAGTGGGTTCACGCGTTCTCCTCCTCAGCATCTATCCAACAACCCTTGGCCTATCTTCGGCAAGCAAACTTGTTGGATTTAGGATTCATTTGGGTAAACCAGGCTCACTTCCCCAAGCTGAGATTCGTAACATATATCTTCCAAGACCCCTTCTCCTTACAAACCAGAGGCATCCAGCTTGCTGATAGTCTACTGCGTGAGGCAGTCATGAAGCTACCATGCAAAATCACGGTTTTAACTCCTTAGGCTTTTTAGCAATCTGTCTTTGTGAAGAGTGCGCAATGTTTCAGCACCCACTGCTCCGCGGTCTTGGGGAGGGGGCTCGCCCGCTAGCTCCACCTCCTCCGTGCCTGTGACCAATCCCCGCTAGGTAGTCCCTGGCTGCACAGTGAGCCTGCGCAGTGCGCCTGCGCAGCGTGCTGTCTCCACCGCAGCCATTGCTGCTAACAGAGTTTCAACCTACCTGGGCGAAGGTGTGCCTATGCCTGAGTCGGCATGTAAGTGTTTTCATTTCCTTACTGAGCTACGTTCCGCTTGTTGGTATTTTGTAAAGCACTGGTGGTACAGGGAGGCGCTTCCCTCGCTTCCTTGGTCCTTGATTCTTTGTGCCCCTGATGAAAGAACACAGTTAAGGATGATGTAAGAATACAACTCCTGCTCTGTTAGGAGTCACATGGGCGAGTTAGGGGTCCCACACATGGAGGAACCAAGTTGCGAACCAAAGGAAGAAGTTAGGAGAGTTTTCTTGGAAATCCAGAGGAGTGTAACTCCCAATTCAGCACAGTGGCCCTCGAGGCCTTTGGGTCAGGGCTACTTTATCCAGCAACCGGCGCAGTGTGCACGCTCGGAGGCGGAACTGCCTTCAGCCTGGGGATCCCGGGTTCCGCTCAGCTAATACTGACCAGCGGGAACCAGTCGCCCAGCAGGGATGCGGGGAAAGAAAAGGGCATTTTGGGGAAGGGATGGGAGTGTAGCTCTGCTCACCCACCCGGGTGACTGATGCCCGTCTGGACTCGCTGGACCACGTGGTGCTGACCACAGCATAGTCTCAAGCTACTACTTATCCCTGAAGGAGACACGTAGGTCCGACCACACCATCTTTACCCTCAGGCCTGACGGTTCACCTGCAGCCAGAGTTTTGGTATCCTTATTTTTGGACTAATTTCCCCAAGAGCTCAGTCCCTCTCTGTGTATTAATTTCTATCACATTTAGCTGCCTATAATCAAGACACATAGGCTGCAGAAGTACAGGTAGAATTTACTGTGAAATAAAAAAAAAGATAGCTTCATCTTTAAGCGGAAAGCGGACAGTGTCACAAAACCTTCTGCACTGGCTGCAAACTTGGGTACATTTTCATTGCACCCAAGAGTTAACCCTTGGTGTTCTCAGAACTGGGGCAGTTGTCAGCTTTTTGTTTTTATGGAAAAAGTAAAACAGTTTCATAAGAAAAAATAGAACAACAGTTAATACATGAGACATCGTCATCTTTCAAGTCGTTGCTCAGGGTACAAAATATGGGCATAAAAACTTCTCCAATCGATATTAGCACAACCTTCCTTCTGAGTGATCTGAGAGACACTAATTATATAACTGACTTGCATTCTTTCCCCTTTTCACTACAGTCCTGGCCCCATTCACCCATCCTCGTTCCTTTTTCCTTCTGAACATTTCCCTCCCATTTCATAGGATCTGTTGTCCATTTTACACCTTACTTTTTCAATGTCTCATACAAGGAAGACAGTAGGACGTTCACACATGAGTCTGATTTGTTTCACGTAGGAATGTGGTTTCAAGTTGTACCCACTTACCTATAAAAGTCTGAAGTTTATGATTCTGTATGGCAGAGTAGTACTCCATTATGTAAAAATACCATATCTTTTAATGCATTCCTCAGTTGATGGGCATTTGAGTTGTTTCAAGATTTAGTTATTAGAAATTGTGGAAGGCAAGGGACTTTTGTCTAAAACATATAAAGAATTAAAAAAAAAAAAACCTCAGACCCCCAACATTCAACGATCCAATCCAAAAATGGGCATCTGAGATGAATACGCACGTCTCAGATGAAGAAATACAAATGGCAAATAAATACATGAAAAAATATTCATCATCATTGGTCATTAGAGAAATGCAAATTAAAACCACACTGAGATTCCATCTCACTCCTGGAAGAATGGCCAGGATCAAGAAGACCAACGACAACAAATGCTGGACAGGCTGTGGGGAAAAAGGAACTCTCCTACACTGTTGGTGGGAGTGTAGACCGGTACAGCCTTTGTGGAGGTCAGTCTGGAGATTTCTCAAATAGATGGGATTGGGAGTCTATTTGTTCCAGCTATTCCACTTCTAGGCATATTCCCAGAAGAACTGAGAGGATCATATCACAGTGATATATGTGCACCTATGTTTATAGCAGCACAATTTGTAATTGCCAGCTCTTGGAAACGACCCAAGTGTCCATCAACTGAGGATTGGATAAAAAAGTTGTGGTATTTCTGTACAATGGAGTATTACTCATCTATAAAGAAGGATCCCATTGAGATACTTGTCAGTAAATGGGCGCAGCTTGAGACCACACTCATAAGTGAAATAAATCAATCTTGCATGTGTGAATACTGAATAGTTTCCCTAATGTAAATAATGCTTCAAATATATAAAAGTATGTGGTAATCATGATTCCCCATTATGTGGCCCTGAAGCCTTATAAAGTTTTCACTTATTAATTGGAATGGCTTTATTCTGGGCTGCTTGATATCATTGCCTGTGATGAAATGAACAGCTATTTTGAAGAAAATAAGTCATCATAATAGCTGGTGCTGATTTGCTATTCTTGTTTTGAAGCCCCACCAAATATGGCTCTTCTGTCTCCATTGTTTTTATCGTGATGTATCTTGCTGGATTTTATTATTTGTGATAGTATAAACAAAAATTGTTATAGGTAAAGAGATAATATAGAAACCATTGTTCGTTTCCTGTTAGCTGGTTCTAAATACCCTACAATGCTTTCAGCCAATTGGATGGTTTTACACTGACTTGATATATTTGAAGCTATAGTATATGAAGTTATATTCAAATATTTCAAGGAAAAAGACCCTAAAGTAACTACTATTAAGTCAGGTTATTTGGTGGTGAAGCACTAGGTTGCTCAAACTGTCATGCTTTGACCCGTTTGTTATGTTGTTATGTCCTCTTTTATCTCAATCTCTCCCTTATTCATTAAAAAAAATCATTTAGTTGTTTTTTATGATTTTTTTTAATGAAGGGGAAAAAGAAAAAAATTAGCAGGATATATTATAGTAACTTTTTTGATCTCCTACTAACTTGATTTGAAGTCCTGTAATACTCCCACTATCTTGTTTTGATTGATTAGACTCTGTTCCGTTCTGTAAGATGGTATCAAGTTTGAGGGTATAGGCAACTACTTTGAAGGCAATAAGATTCACTATGATGCCCATTCTGGTTTGGGTAATATCTTCTTTGGAAGTCCTGTAACGCTTACAAGGTTGAGGTTTTATTGGTCTTGTTCTCTACTGTTTTGTTCAACTTTATAATACCTAATGAGATAGACAATTCTTTTTAAGGAAGCAAGAGGCATTATGGTAACCATTGTTGATAACCTTGTACTCTGTTTTTACGTCATGTGCTATGTCTATCCTTGGTTTTCACTGACAGCTTTGTTTTGCCATATTTGACTTTATTCTCTTCCAAAAAAAAAAAGTAATAAGAACTAAGGAGTAATAAACCCCAAAATGTGTAAATTGTGTTGTAAAAAAGAGAGGGAAAAAAAGTGCTCTAAAGGATACAACTGCAAGTGTTTTTAGGGGCGTTAAATACATGACCATATTAATGTGTTTGGTTGGATCATTGAACACCAATATTTACAATCTCACTGTTTGAATGTCCACTTTGTATGCTTTCATACTGTGACTTGAGCAACTATCTATAAGATGATAATATATAATCTATTAACTGGTGATTTCTTACTTTTTTTTTTTTTTTTTTTTTTTTTTGTGGTTCTGTACTACTTGTAACCTTACACCGCTGTGTTTTGTTTTTTCTCTTTTTCCTTTTGAATAATATTAAAAAAAAAAAAAAGATGTCCAAAGGACTGGCCACCCCGCGGATGCGCCAGAAGGTGGTCCTTGCTGCCTAGGGCTTCTGGGGATGCCATCTGCTCACTGTAGTCCCATTACTCTGGGTTCACGCGTTCTCCTCCTCAGCATCTATCCAACAACCCTTGGCCTATCTTCGGCAAGCAAACTTGTTGGATTTAGGATTCATTTGGGTAAACCAGGCTCACTTCCCCAAACTGAGATTCGTAACATATATCTTCCAAGACCCCTTCTCCTTACAAACCAGAGGCGTCCAGCTTGCTGATAGTCTACTGCATGAGGCAGTCATGAAAGCTACCATGCAAAAATCACGGTTTTAACTCCTTAGGCTTTTTAGCAGTCTGTCTTTGTGAAGAGTGCGCAATGTTTCAGCACCCACTGCTCCGCGGTCTTGGGGAGGGGGCTCGCCCGCTAGCTCCACCTCCTCCGTGCCTGTGACCAATCCCCGCTAGGTAGTCCCTGGCTGCACAGTGAGCCTGCGCAGTGCGCCTGCGCAGCGTGCTGTCTCCACCGCAGCCATTGCTGCTAACAGAGTTTCAACCTACCTGGGCGAAGGTGTGCCTATGCCTGAGTCGGCATGTAAGTGTTTTCATTTCCTTACTGAGCTACGTTCCGCTTGTTGGTATTTTGTAAAGCACTGGTGGTACAGGGAGGCGCTTCCCTCGCTTCCTTGGTCCTTGATTCTTTGTGCCCCTGATGAAAGAACACAGTTAAGGATGATGTAAGAATACAACTCCTGCTCTGTTAGGAGTCACATGGGCGAGTTAGGGGTCCCACACATGGGGGAACCAAGTTGCGAACCAAAGGAAGAAGTTAGGAGAGTTTTCTTGGAAATCCAGAGGAGTGTAACTCCCAATTCCGCACAGTGGCCCTCCAGGCCTTTGGGTCAGGGCTACTTTATCCAGCAACCGGCGCAGTGTGCACGCTCGGAGGCGGAACTGCCTTCAGCCTGGGGATCCCGGGTTCCGCTCAGCTAATACTGACCAGCGGGAACCAGTCGCCCAGCAGGGATGCGGGGAAAGAAAAGGGCATTTTGGGGAAGGGATGGGAGTGTAGCTCTGCTCACCCACCCGGGTGACTGATGCCCGTCTGGACTCGCTGGACCACGTGGTGCTGACCACAGCATAGTCTCAAGCTACTACTTATCCCTGAAGGAGACACGTAGGTCCAACCACACCATCTTTACCCTCAGGCCTGACGGTTCACCTGCAGCCAGAGTTTTGGTATCCTTATTTTTGGACTAATTTCCCCAAGAGCTCAGTCCCTCTCTGTGTATTAATTTCTATCACATTTAGCTGCCTATAATCAAGACACATAGGCTGCAGAAGTACAGGTAGAATTTACTGTGAAATAAAAAAAAAGATAGCTTCATCTTTAAGCGGAAAGCGGACAGTGTCACAAAACCTTCTGCACTGGCTGCAAACTTGGGTACATTTTCATTGCACCCAAGAGTTAACCCTTGGTGTTCTCAGAACTGGGGCAGTTGTCAGCTTTTTGTTTTTATGGAAAAAGTAAAACAGTTTCATAAGAAAAAATAGAACAACAGTTAATACATGAGACATCGTCATCTTTCAAGTCGTTGCTCAGGGTACAAAATATGGGCATAAAAACTTCTCCAATCGATATTAGCACAACCTTCCTTCTGAGTGATCTGAGAGACACTAATTATATAACTGACTTGCATTCTTTCCCCTTTTCACTACAGTCCTGGCCCCATTCACCCATCCTCGTTCCTTTTTCCTTCTGGACATTTCCCTCCCATTTCACAGTATCTGTTGTCCATTTTACACCTTACTTTTTCAATGTCTCATACAAGGAACACAGTAGGACGTTCACACATGAGTCTGATTTATTTCACGTAGGAATGTGGTTTCAAGTTGTACCGACTTACCTATAAAAGTCTGAAGTTTATGATTCTGTATGGCAGAGTAGTACTCCATTGTGTAAAAGTACCATATCTTTTAATGCATTCCTCAGTTGATGGGCATTTGAGTTGTTTCAAGATTTAGTTATTAGAAATTGTGGAAGGCAAGGGACTTTTGTCTAAAACATATAAAGAATTAAAAAAAAAACAACAACAAAAACAACCTCAGGCCCCCAAAATTCAAAGATCCCACCCAAAAATGGGCATCTGAGATGAATACGCACGTCTCAGATGAAGAAATACAAATGGCAAATAAATACATGAAAAAATATTCATCATCATTGGTCATTAGAGAAATGCAAATTAAAACCACACTGAGATTCCATCTCACTCCTGGAAGAATGGCCAGGATCAAGAAGACCAACGACAACAAATGCTGGACAGGCTGTGGGGAAAAAGGAACTCTCCTACACTGTTGGTGGGAGTGTAGACCCGTACAACCTTTGTGGAGGTCAGTCTGGAGATTTCTCAAATAGATGGGATTGGGAGTCTATTTGTTCCAGCTATTCCACTTCTAGGCATATTCCCAGAAGAACTGAGAGCATCATATCACAGTGATATATGTGCACCTATGTTTATAGCAGCATAATTTGTAATTGCCAGCTCTTGGAAACGACCCAAGTGTCCATCAACTGAGGATTGGATAAAAAAGTTGTGGTATTTCCATACAATGGAGTATTACTCAGCTATAAAGAAGGATCCCATTGAGATATTTGTCAATAAATGGGCGCAGCTTGAGACCACACTCATAAGTGAAATAAATCAGTCTTGCATGTGTGAATACTGAATAGTTTCCCTAATGTAAATAATGCTTCAAATATATAAAAGTATGTGGTAATCATGATTCCCCATTATGTGGCCCTGAAGCCTTATAAAGTTTTCACTTATTAATTGGAATGGCTTTATTCTGGGCTGCTTGATATCATTGCCTGTGATGAAATGAACAGCTATTTTGAAGAAAATAAGTCATCATAATAGCTGGTGCTGATTTGCTATTCTTGTTTTGAAGCCCCACCAAAATATGGCTCTTCTGTCTCCATTGGTTTTATCATGATATATCTTGCTGGATTTTATTATATGTGATAGTATAAACAAAAATTGTTATAGGTAAAGAGATAATATAGAAACCATTGTTCGTTTCCTGTTAGCTGGTTCTAAATACCCTACAATGCTTTCAGCCAATTGGATGGTTTTACACTGACTTGATATATTTGAAGCTATAGTATATGAAGTTATATTCAAATATTTCAAGGAAAAAGACCCTAAAGTAACTACTATTAAGTCGGGTTATTTGGTGGTGAAGCACTAGTTTGCTCAAACTGTCATGCTTTGACCTCTTTTTTATGTTGTTATGTCCTCTTTTATCTCAATCTCTCCCTTATTCATTAAAGAAATCATTTAGTTGTTTTTTATGATTTTTTTTAATGAAGGGGAAAAAGAAAAAAATTAGCAGGATATATTATAGTAACTTTTTTGATCTCCTACTAACTTGATTTGAAGTCCTGTAATACTCCCACTATCTTGTTTTGATTGATTAGACTCTGTTCCGTTCTGTAAGATGGTATCAAGTTTGAGGGTATAGGCAACTACTTTGAAGGCAATAAGATTCACTATGATGCCCATTCTGGTTTGGGTAATATCTTCTTTGGAAGTCCTGTAACGCTTACAAGGTTGAGGTTTTATTGGTCTTGTTCTCTACTGTTTTGTTCAACTTTATAATACCTAATGAGATAGACAATTCTTTTTAAGGAAGCAAGAGGCATTATGGTAACCATTGTTGATAACCTTGTACTCTGTTTTTACGTCATGTGCTATGTCTATCCTTGGTTTTCACTGACAGCTTTGTTTTGCCATATTTGACTTTATTCTCTTCCAAAAAAAAAAAGTAATAAGAACTAAGGAGTAATAAACCCCAAAATGTGTAAATTGTGTTGTAAAAAAGAGAGGGAAAAAAAGTGCTCTAAAGGATACAACTGCAAGTGTTTTTAGGGGCGTTAAATACATGACCATATTAATGTGTTTGGTTGGATCATTGAACACCAATATTTACAATCTCACTGTTTGAATGTCCACTTTGTATGCTTTCATACTGTGACTTGAGCAACTATCTATAAGATGATAATATATAATCTATTAACTGGTGATTTCTTACTTTTTTTTTTTTTTTTTTTTTTTTTTTTTTGTGGTTCTGTACTACTTGTAACCTTACACCGCTGTGTTTTGTTTTTTCTCTTTTTCCTTTTGAATAATATTAAAAAAAAAAAAAAAGATGTCCAAAGGACTGGCCACCCCGCGGATGCGCCAGAAGGTGGTCCTTGCTGCCTAGGGCTTCTGGGGATGCCATCTGCTCACTGTAGTCCCATTACTCTGGGTTCACGCGTTCTCCTCCTCAGCATCTGTCCAACAACCCTTGGCCTATCTTCGGCAAGCAAACTTGTTGGATTTAGGATTCATTTGGGTAAACCAGGCTCACTTCCCCAAACTGAGATTCGTAACATATATCTTCCAAGACCCCTTCTCCTTACAAACCAGAGGCGTCCAGCTTGCTGATAGTCTACTGCATGAGGCAGTCATGAAAGCTACCATGCAAAAATCACGGTTTTAACTCCTTAGGCTTTTTAGCAGTCTGTCTTTGTGAAGAGTGCGCAATGTTTCAGCACCCACTGCTCCGCGGTCTTGGGGAGGGGGCTCGCCCGCTAGCTCCACCTCCTCCGTGCCTGTGACCAATCCCCGCTAGGTAGTCCCTGGCTGCACAGTGAGCCTGCGCAGTGCGCCTGCGCAGCGTGCTGTCTCCACCGCAGCCATTGCTGCTAACAGAGTTTCAACCTACCTGGGCGAAGGTGTGCCTATGCCTGAGTCGGCATGTAAGTGTTTTCATTTCCTTACTGAGCTACGTTCCGCTTGTTGGTATTTTGTAAAGCACTGGTGGTACAGGGAGGCGCTTCCCTCGCTTCCTTGGTCCTTGATTCTTTGTGCCCCTGATGAAAGAACACAGTTAAGGATGATGTAAGAATACAACTCCTGCTCTGTTAGGAGTCACATGGGCGAGTTAGGGGTCCCACACATGGGGGAACCAAGTTGCGAACCAAAGGAAGAAGTTAGGAGAGTTTTCTTGGAAATCCAGAGGAGTGTAACTCCCAATTCCGCACAGTGGCCCTCCAGGCCTTTGGGTCAGGGCTACTTTATCCAGCAACCGGCGCAGTGTGCACGCTCGGAGGCGGAACTGCCTTCAGCCTGGGGATCCCGGGTTCCGCTCAGCTAATACTGACCAGCGGGAACCAGTCGCCCAGCAGGGATGCGGGGAAAGAAAAGGGCATTTTGGGGAAGGGATGGGAGTGTAGCTCTGCTCACCCACCCGGGTGACTGATGCCCGTCTGGACTCGCTGGACCACGTGGTGCTGACCACAGCATAGTCTCAAGCTACTACTTATCCCTGAAGGAGACACGTAGGTCCGACCACACCATCTTTACCCTCAGGCCTGACGGTTCACCTGCAGCCAGAGTTTTGGTATCCTTATTTTTGGACTAATTTCCCCAAGAGCTCAGTCCCTCTCTGTGTATTAATTTCTATCACATTTAGCTGCCTATAATCAAGACACATAGGCTGCAGAAGTACAGGTAGAATTTACTGTGAAATAAAAAAAAAGATAGCTTCATCTTTAAGCGGAAAGCGGACAGTGTCACAAAACCTTCTGCACTGGCTGCAAACTTGGGTACATTTTCATTGCACCCAAGAGTTAACCCTTGGTGTTCTCAGAACTGGGGCAGTTGTCAGCTTTTTGTTTTTATGGAAAAAGTAAAACAGTTTCATAAGAAAAAATAGAACAACAGTTAATACATGAGACATCGTCATCTTTCAAGTCGTTGCTCAGGGTACAAAATATGGGCATAAAAACTTCTCCAATCGATATTAGCACAACCTTCCTTCTGAGTGATCTGAGAGACACTAATTATATAACTGACTTGCATTCTTTCCCCTTTTCACTACAGTCCTGGCCCCATTCACCCATCCTCGTTCCTTTTTCCTTCTGGACATTTCCCTCCCATTTCACAGTATCTGTTGTCCATTTTACACCTTACTTTTTCAATGTCTCATACAAGGAACACAGTAGGACGTTCACACATGAGTCTGATTTATTTCACGTAGGAATGTGGTTTCAAGTTGTACCGACTTACCTATAAAAGTCTGAAGTTTATGATTCTGTATGGCAGAGTAGTACTCCATTGTGTAAAAGTACCATATCTTTTAATGCATTCCTCAGTTGATGGGCATTTGAGTTGTTTCAAGATTTAGTTATTAGAAATTGTGGAAGGCAAGGGACTTTTGTCTAAAACATATAAAGAATTAAAAAAAAAACAACAACAAAAACAACCTCAGGCCCCCAAAATTCAAAGATCCCACCCAAAAATGGGCATCTGAGATGAATACGCACGTCTCAGATGAAGAAATACAAATGGCAAATAAATACATGAAAAAATATTCATCATCATTGGTCATTAGAGAAATGCAAATTAAAACCACACTGAGATTCCATCTCACTCCTGGAAGAATGGCCAGGATCAAGAAGACCAACGACAACAAATGCTGGACAGGCTGTGGGGAAAAAGGAACTCTCCTACACTGTTGGTGGGAGTGTAGACCCGTACAACCTTTGTGGAGGTCAGTCTGGAGATTTCTCAAATAGATGGGATTGGGAGTCTATTTGTTCCAGCTATTCCACTTCTAGGCATATTCCCAGAAGAACTGAGAGCATCATATCACAGTGATATATGTGCACCTATGTTTATAGCAGCATAATTTGTAATTGCCAGCTCTTGGAAACGACCCAAGTGTCCATCAACTGAGGATTGGATAAAAAAGTTGTGGTATTTCCATACAATGGAGTATTACTCAGCTATAAAGAAGGATCCCATTGAGATATTTGTCAATAAATGGGCGCAGCTTGAGACCACACTCATAAGTGAAATAAATCAGTCTTGCATGTGTGAATACTGAATAGTTTCCCTAATGTAAATAATGCTTCAAATATATAAAAGTATGTGGTAATCATGATTCCCCATTATGTGGCCCTGAAGCCTTATAAAGTTTTCACTTATTAATTGGAATGGCTTTATTCTGGGCTGCTTGATATCATTGCCTGTGATGAAATGAACAGCTATTTTGAAGAAAATAAGTCATCATAATAGCTGGTGCTGATTTGCTATTCTTGTTTTGAAGCCCCACCAAAATATGGCTCTTCTGTCTCCATTGGTTTTATCATGATATATCTTGCTGGATTTTATTATATGTGATAGTATAAACAAAAATTGTTATAGGTAAAGAGATAATATAGAAACCATTGTTCGTTTCCTGTTAGCTGGTTCTAAATACCCTACAATGCTTTCAGCCAATTGGATGGTTTTACACTGACTTGATATATTTGAAGCTATAGTATATGAAGTTATATTCAAATATTTCAAGGAAAAAGACCCTAAAGTAACTACTATTAAGTCGGGTTATTTGGTGGTGAAGCACTAGTTTGCTCAAACTGTCATGCTTTGACCTCTTTTTTATGTTGTTATGTCCTCTTTTATCTCAATCTCTCCCTTATTCATTAAAGAAATCATTTAGTTGTTTTTTATGATTTTTTTTAATGAAGGGGAAAAAGAAAAAAATTAGCAGGATATATTATAGTAACTTTTTTGATCTCCTACTAACTTGATTTGAAGTCCTGTAATACTCCCACTATCTTGTTTTGATTGATTAGACTCTGTTCCGTTCTGTAAGATGGTATCAAGTTTGAGGGTATAGGCAACTACTTTGAAGGCAATAAGATTCACTATGATGCCCATTCTGGTTTGGGTAATATCTTCTTTGGAAGTCCTGTAACGCTTACAAGGTTGAGGTTTTATTGGTCTTGTTCTCTACTGTTTTGTTCAACTTTATAATACCTAATGAGATAGACAATTCTTTTTAAGGAAGCAAGAGGCATTATGGTAACCATTGTTGATAACCTTGTACTCTGTTTTTACGTCATGTGCTATGTCTATCCTTGGTTTTCACTGACAGCTTTGTTTTGCCATATTTGACTTTATTCTCTTCCAAAAAAAAAAAGTAATAAGAACTAAGGAGTAATAAACCCCAAAATGTGTAAATTGTGTTGTAAAAAAGAGAGGGAAAAAAAGTGCTCTAAAGGATACAACTGCAAGTGTTTTTAGGGGCGTTAAATACATGACCATATTAATGTGTTTGGTTGGATCATTGAACACCAATATTTACAATCTCACTGTTTGAATGTCCACTTTGTATGCTTTCATACTGTGACTTGAGCAACTATCTATAAGATGATAATATATAATCTATTAACTGGTGATTTCTTACTTTTTTTTTTTTTTTTTTTTTTTTTTTTTGTGGTTCTGTACTACTTGTAACCTTACACCGCTGTGTTTTGTTTTTTCTCTTTTTCCTTTTGAATAATATTAAAAAAAAAAAAAAAGATGTCCAAAGGACTGGCCACCCCGCGGATGCGCCAGAAGGTGGTCCTTGCTGCCTAGGGCTTCTGGGGATGCCATCTGCTCACTGTAGTCCCATTACTCTGGGTTCACGCGTTCTCCTCCTCAGCATCTGTCCAACAACCCTTGGCCTATCTTCGGCAAGCAAACTTGTTGGATTTAGGATTCATTTGGGTAAACCAGGCTCACTTCCCCAAACTGAGATTCGTAACATATATCTTCCAAGACCCCTTCTCCTTACAAACCAGAGGCGTCCAGCTTGCTGATAGTCTACTGCATGAGGCAGTCATGAAAGCTACCATGCAAAAATCACGGTTTTAACTCCTTAGGCTTTTTAGCAGTCTGTCTTTGTGAAGAGTGCGCAATGTTTCAGCACCCACTGCTCCGCGGTCTTGGGGAGGGGGCTCGCCCGCTAGCTCCACCTCCTCCGTGCCTGTGACCAATCCCCGCTAGGTAGTCCCTGGCTGCACAGTGAGCCTGCGCAGTGCGCCTGCGCAGCGTGCTGTCTCCACCGCAGCCATTGCTGCTAACAGAGTTTCAACCTACCTGGGCGAAGGTGTGCCTATGCCTGAGTCGGCATGTAAGTGTTTTCATTTCCTTACTGAGCTACGTTCCGCTTGTTGGTATTTTGTAAAGCACTGGTGGTACAGGGAGGCGCTTCCCTCGCTTCCTTGGTCCTTGATTCTTTGTGCCCCTGATGAAAGAACACAGTTAAGGATGATGTAAGAATACAACTCCTGCTCTGTTAGGAGTCACATGGGCGAGTTAGGGGTCCCACACATGGGGGAACCAAGTTGCGAACCAAAGGAAGAAGTTAGGAGAGTTTTCTTGGAAATCCAGAGGAGTGTAACTCCCAATTCCGCACAGTGGCCCTCCAGGCCTTTGGGTCAGGGCTACTTTATCCAGCAACCGGCGCAGTGTGCACGCTCGGAGGCGGAACTGCCTTCAGCCTGGGGATCCCGGGTTCCGCTCAGCTAATACTGACCAGCGGGAACCAGTCGCCCAGCAGGGATGCGGGGAAAGAAAAGGGCATTTTGGGGAAGGGATGGGAGTGTAGCTCTGCTCACCCACCCGGGTGACTGATGCCCATCTGGACTCGCTGGACCACGTGGTGCTGACCACAGCATAGTCTCAAGCTACTACTTATCCCTGAAGGAGACACGTAGGTCCGACCACACCATCTTTACCCTCAGGCCTGACGGTTCACCTGCAGCCAGAGTTTTGGTATCCTTATTTTTGGACTAATTTCCCCAAGAGCTCAGTCCCTCTCTGTGTATTAATTTCTATCACATTTAGCTGCCTATAATCAAGACACATAGGCTGCAGAAGTACAGGTAGAATTTACTGTGAAATAAAAAAAAAGATAGCTTCATCTTTAAGCGGAAAGCGGACAGTGTCACAAAACCTTCTGCACTGGCTGCAAACTTGGGTACATTTTCATTGCACCCAAGAGTTAACCCTTGGTGTTCTCAGAACTGGGGCAGTTGTCAGCTTTTTGTTTTTATGGAAAAAGTAAAACAGTTTCATAAGAAAAAATAGAACAACAGTTAATACATGAGACATCGTCATCTTTCAAGTCGTTGCTCAGGGTACAAAATATGGGCATAAAAACTTCTCCAATCGATATTAGCACAACCTTCCTTCTGAGTGATCTGAGAGACACTAATTATATAACTGACTTGCATTCTTTCCCCTTTTCACTACAGTCCTGGCCCCATTCACCCATCCTCGTTCCTTTTTCCTTCTGGACATTTCCCTCCCATTTCACAGTATCTGTTGTCCATTTTACACCTTACTTTTTCAATGTCTCATACAAGGAACACAGTAGGACGTTCACACATGAGTCTGATTTATTTCACGTAGGAATGTGGTTTCAAGTTGTACCGACTTACCTATAAAAGTCTGAAGTTTATGATTCTGTATGGCAGAGTAGTACTCCATTGTGTAAAAGTACCATATCTTTTAATGCATTCCTCAGTTGATGGGCATTTGAGTTGTTTCAAGATTTAGTTATTAGAAATTGTGGAAGGCAAGGGACTTTTGTCTAAAACATATAAAGAATTAAAAAAAAAACAACAACAAAAACAACCTCAGGCCCCCAAAATTCAAAGATCCCACCCAAAAATGGGCATCTGAGATGAATACGCACGTCTCAGATGAAGAAATACAAATGGCAAATAAATACATGAAAAAATATTCATCATCATTGGTCATTAGAGAAATGCAAATTAAAACCACACTGAGATTCCATCTCACTCCTGGAAGAATGGCCAGGATCAAGAAGACCAACGACAACAAATGCTGGACAGGCTGTGGGGAAAAAGGAACTCTCCTACACTGTTGGTGGGAGTGTAGACCCGTACAACCTTTGTGGAGGTCAGTCTGGAGATTTCTCAAATAGATGGGATTGGGAGTCTATTTGTTCCAGCTATTCCACTTCTAGGCATATTCCCAGAAGAACTGAGAGCATCATATCACAGTGATATATGTGCACCTATGTTTATAGCAGCATAATTTGTAATTGCCAGCTCTTGGAAACGACCCAAGTGTCCATCAACTGAGGATTGGATAAAAAAGTTGTGGTATTTCCATACAATGGAGTATTACTCAGCTATAAAGAAGGATCCCATTGAGATATTTGTCAATAAATGGGCGCAGCTTGAGACCACACTCATAAGTGAAATAAATCAGTCTTGCATGTGTGAATACTGAATAGTTTCCCTAATGTAAATAATGCTTCAAATATATAAAAGTATGTGGTAATCATGATTCCCCATTATGTGGCCCTGAAGCCTTATAAAGTTTTCACTTATTAATTGGAATGGCTTTATTCTGGGCTGCTTGATATCATTGCCTGTGATGAAATGAACAGCTATTTTGAAGAAAATAAGTCATCATAATAGCTGGTGCTGATTTGCTATTCTTGTTTTGAAGCCCCACCAAAATATGGCTCTTCTGTCTCCATTGGTTTTATCATGATATATCTTGCTGGATTTTATTATATGTGATAGTATAAACAAAAATTGTTATAGGTAAAGAGATAATATAGAAACCATTGTTCGTTTCCTGTTAGCTGGTTCTAAATACCCTACAATGCTTTCAGCCAATTGGATGGTTTTACACTGACTTGATATATTTGAAGCTATAGTATATGAAGTTATATTCAAATATTTCAAGGAAAAAGACCCTAAAGTAACTACTATTAAGTCGGGTTATTTGGTGGTGAAGCACTAGTTTGCTCAAACTGTCATGCTTTGACCTCTTTTTTATGTTGTTATGTCCTCTTTTATCTCAATCTCTCCCTTATTCATTAAAGAAATCATTTAGTTGTTTTTTATGATTTTTTTTAATGAAGGGGAAAAAGAAAAAAATTAGCAGGATATATTATAGTAACTTTTTTGATCTCCTACTAACTTGATTTGAAGTCCTGTAATACTCCCACTATCTTGTTTTGATTGATTAGACTCTGTTCCGTTCTGTAAGATGGTATCAAGTTTGAGGGTATAGGCAACTACTTTGAAGGCAATAAGATTCACTATGATGCCCATTCTGGTTTGGGTAATATCTTCTTTGGAAGTCCTGTAACGCTTACAAGGTTGAGGTTTTATTGGTCTTGTTCTCTACTGTTTTGTTCAACTTTATAATACCTAATGAGATAGACAATTCTTTTTAAGGAAGCAAGAGGCATTATGGTAACCATTGTTGATAACCTTGTACTCTGTTTTTACGTCATGTGCTATGTCTATCCTTGGTTTTCACTGACAGCTTTGTTTTGCCATATTTGACTTTATTCTCTTCCAAAAAAAAAAAGTAATAAGAACTAAGGAGTAATAAACCCCAAAATGTGTAAATTGTGTTGTAAAAAAGAGAGGGAAAAAAAGTGCTCTAAAGGATACAACTGCAAGTGTTTTTAGGGGCGTTAAATACATGACCATATTAATGTGTTTGGTTGGATCATTGAACACCAATATTTACAATCTCACTGTTTGAATGTCCACTTTGTATGCTTTCATACTGTGACTTGAGCAACTATCTATAAGATGATAATATATAATCTATTAACTGGTGATTTCTTACTTTTTTTTTTTTTTTTTTTTTTTTTTTTTTGTGGTTCTGTACTACTTGTAACCTTACACCGCTGTGTTTTGTTTTTTCTCTTTTTCCTTTTGAATAATATTAAAAAAAAAAAAAAAGATGTCCAAAGGACTGGCCACCCCGCGGATGCGCCAGAAGGTGGTCCTTGCTGCCTAGGGCTTCTGGGGATGCCATCTGCTCACTGTAGTCCCATTACTCTGGGTTCACGCGTTCTCCTCCTCAGCATCTGTCCAACAACCCTTGGCCTATCTTCGGCAAGCAAACTTGTTGGATTTAGGATTCATTTGGGTAAACCAGGCTCACTTCCCCAAACTGAGATTCGTAACATATATCTTCCAAGACCCCTTCTCCTTACAAACCAGAGGCGTCCAGCTTGCTGATAGTCTACTGCATGAGGCAGTCATGAAAGCTACCATGCAAAAATCACGGTTTTAACTCCTTAGGCTTTTTAGCAGTCTGTCTTTGTGAAGAGTGCGCAATGTTTCAGCACCCACTGCTCCGCGGTCTTGGGGAGGGGGCTCGCCCGCTAGCTCCACCTCCTCCGTGCCTGTGACCAATCCCCGCTAGGTAGTCCCTGGCTGCACAGTGAGCCTGCGCAGTGCGCCTGCGCAGCGTGCTGTCTCCACCGCAGCCATTGCTGCTAACAGAGTTTCAACCTACCTGGGCGAAGGTGTGCCTATGCCTGAGTCGGCATGTAAGTGTTTTCATTTCCTTACTGAGCTACGTTCCGCTTGTTGGTATTTTGTAAAGCACTGGTGGTACAGGGAGGCGCTTCCCTCGCTTCCTTGGTCCTTGATTCTTTGTGCCCCTGATGAAAGAACACAGTTAAGGATGATGTAAGAATACAACTCCTGCTCTGTTAGGAGTCACATGGGCGAGTTAGGGGTCCCACACATGGGGGAACCAAGTTGCGAACCAAAGGAAGAAGTTAGGAGAGTTTTCTTGGAAATCCAGAGGAGTGTAACTCCCAATTCCGCACAGTGGCCCTCCAGGCCTTTGGGTCAGGGCTACTTTATCCAGCAACCGGCGCAGTGTGCACGCTCGGAGGCGGAACTGCCTTCAGCCTGGGGATCCCGGGTTCCGCTCAGCTAATACTGACCAGCGGGAACCAGTCGCCCAGCAGGGATGCGGGGAAAGAAAAGGGCATTTTGGGGAAGGGATGGGAGTGTAGCTCTGCTCACCCACCCGGGTGACTGATGCCCGTCTGGACTCGCTGGACCACGTGGTGCTGACCACAGCATAGTCTCAAGCTACTACTTATCCCTGAAGGAGACACGTAGGTCCGACCACACCATCTTTACCCTCAGGCCTGACGGTTCACCTGCAGCCAGAGTTTTGGTATCCTTATTTTTGGACTAATTTCCCCAAGAGCTCAGTCCCTCTCTGTGTATTAATTTCTATCACATTTAGCTGCCTATAATCAAGACACATAGGCTGCAGAAGTACAGGTAGAATTTACTGTGAAATAAAAAAAAAGATAGCTTCATCTTTAAGCGGAAAGCGGACAGTGTCACAAAACCTTCTGCACTGGCTGCAAACTTGGGTACATTTTCATTGCACCCAAGAGTTAACCCTTGGTGTTCTCAGAACTGGGGCAGTTGTCAGCTTTTTGTTTTTATGGAAAAAGTAAAACAGTTTCATAAGAAAAAATAGAACAACAGTTAATACATGAGACATCGTCATCTTTCAAGTCGTTGCTCAGGGTACAAAATATGGGCATAAAAACTTCTCCAATCGATATTAGCACAACCTTCCTTCTGAGTGATCTGAGAGACACTAATTATATAACTGACTTGCATTCTTTCCCCTTTTCACTACAGTCCTGGCCCCATTCACCCATCCTCGTTCCTTTTTCCTTCTGGACATTTCCCTCCCATTTCACAGTATCTGTTGTCCATTTTACACCTTACTTTTTCAATGTCTCATACAAGGAACACAGTAGGACGTTCACACATGAGTCTGATTTATTTCACGTAGGAATGTGGTTTCAAGTTGTACCGACTTACCTATAAAAGTCTGAAGTTTATGATTCTGTATGGCAGAGTAGTACTCCATTGTGTAAAAGTACCATATCTTTTAATGCATTCCTCAGTTGATGGGCATTTGAGTTGTTTCAAGATTTAGTTATTAGAAATTGTGGAAGGCAAGGGACTTTTGTCTAAAACATATAAAGAATTAAAAAAAAAACAACAACAAAAACAACCTCAGGCCCCCAAAATTCAAAGATCCCACCCAAAAATGGGCATCTGAGATGAATACGCACGTCTCAGATGAAGAAATACAAATGGCAAATAAATACATGAAAAAATATTCATCATCATTGGTCATTAGAGAAATGCAAATTAAAACCACACTGAGATTCCATCTCACTCCTGGAAGAATGGCCAGGATCAAGAAGACCAACGACAACAAATGCTGGACAGGCTGTGGGGAAAAAGGAACTCTCCTACACTGTTGGTGGGAGTGTAGACCCGTACAACCTTTGTGGAGGTCAGTCTGGAGATTTCTCAAATAGATGGGATTGGGAGTCTATTTGTTCCAGCTATTCCACTTCTAGGCATATTCCCAGAAGAACTGAGAGCATCATATCACAGTGATATATGTGCACCTATGTTTATAGCAGCATAATTTGTAATTGCCAGCTCTTGGAAACGACCCAAGTGTCCATCAACTGAGGATTGGATAAAAAAGTTGTGGTATTTCCATACAATGGAGTATTACTCAGCTATAAAGAAGGATCCCATTGAGATATTTGTCAATAAATGGGCGCAGCTTGAGACCACACTCATAAGTGAAATAAATCAGTCTTGCATGTGTGAATACTGAATAGTTTCCCTAATGTAAATAATGCTTCAAATATATAAAAGTATGTGGTAATCATGATTCCCCATTATGTGGCCCTGAAGCCTTATAAAGTTTTCACTTATTAATTGGAATGGCTTTATTCTGGGCTGCTTGATATCATTGCCTGTGATGAAATGAACAGCTATTTTGAAGAAAATAAGTCATCATAATAGCTGGTGCTGATTTGCTATTCTTGTTTTGAAGCCCCACCAAAATATGGCTCTTCTGTCTCCATTGGTTTTATCATGATATATCTTGCTGGATTTTATTATATGTGATAGTATAAACAAAAATTGTTATAGGTAAAGAGATAATATAGAAACCATTGTTCGTTTCCTGTTAGCTGGTTCTAAATACCCTACAATGCTTTCAGCCAATTGGATGGTTTTACACTGACTTGATATATTTGAAGCTATAGTATATGAAGTTATATTCAAATATTTCAAGGAAAAAGACCCTAAAGTAACTACTATTAAGTCGGGTTATTTGGTGGTGAAGCACTAGTTTGCTCAAACTGTCATGCTTTGACCTCTTTTTTATGTTGTTATGTCCTCTTTTATCTCAATCTCTCCCTTATTCATTAAAGAAATCATTTAGTTGTTTTTTATGATTTTTTTTAATGAAGGGGAAAAAGAAAAAAATTAGCAGGATATATTATAGTAACTTTTTTGATCTCCTACTAACTTGATTTGAAGTCCTGTAATACTCCCACTATCTTGTTTTGATTGATTAGACTCTGTTCCGTTCTGTAAGATGGTATCAAGTTTGAGGGTATAGGCAACTACTTTGAAGGCAATAAGATTCACTATGATGCCCATTCTGGTTTGGGTAATATCTTCTTTGGAAGTCCTGTAACGCTTACAAGGTTGAGGTTTTATTGGTCTTGTTCTCTACTGTTTTGTTCAACTTTATAATACCTAATGAGATAGACAATTCTTTTTAAGGAAGCAAGAGGCATTATGGTAACCATTGTTGATAACCTTGTACTCTGTTTTTACGTCATGTGCTATGTCTATCCTTGGTTTTCACTGACAGCTTTGTTTTGCCATATTTGACTTTATTCTCTTCCAAAAAAAAAAAGTAATAAGAACTAAGGAGTAATAAACCCCAAAATGTGTAAATTGTGTTGTAAAAAAGAGAGGGAAAAAAAGTGCTCTAAAGGATACAACTGCAAGTGTTTTTAGGGGCGTTAAATACATGACCATATTAATGTGTTTGGTTGGATCATTGAACACCAATATTTACAATCTCACTGTTTGAATGTCCACTTTGTATGCTTTCATACTGTGACTTGAGCAACTATCTATAAGATGATAATATATAATCTATTAACTGGTGATTTCTTACTTTTTTTTTTTTTTTTTTTTGTGGTTCTGTACTACTTGTAACCTTACACCGCTGTGTTTTGTTTTTTCTCTTTTTCCTTTTGAATAATATTAAAAAAAAAAAAAAAGATGTCCAAAGGACTGGCCACCCCGCGGATGCGCCAGAAGGTGGTCCTTGCTGCCTAGGGCTTCTGGGGATGCCATCTGCTCACTGTAGTCCCATTACTCTGGGTTCACGCGTTCTCCTCCTCAGCATCTGTCCAACAACCCTTGGCCTATCTTCGGCAAGCAAACTTGTTGGATTTAGGATTCATTTGGGTAAACCAGGCTCACTTCCCCAAACTGAGATTCGTAACATATATCTTCCAAGACCCCTTCTCCTTACAAACCAGAGGCGTCCAGCTTGCTGATAGTCTACTGCATGAGGCAGTCATGAAAGCTACCATGCAAAAATCACGGTTTTAACTCCTTAGGCTTTTTAGCAGTCTGTCTTTGTGAAGAGTGCGCAATGTTTCAGCACCCACTGCTCCGCGGTCTTGGGGAGGGGGCTCGCCCGCTAGCTCCACCTCCTCCGTGCCTGTGACCAATCCCCGCTAGGTAGTCCCTGGCTGCACAGTGAGCCTGCGCAGTGCGCCTGCGCAGCGTGCTGTCTCCACCGCAGCCATTGCTGCTAACAGAGTTTCAACCTACCTGGGCGAAGGTGTGCCTATGCCTGAGTCGGCATGTAAGTGTTTTCATTTCCTTACTGAGCTACGTTCCGCTTGTTGGTATTTTGTAAAGCACTGGTGGTACAGGGAGGCGCTTCCCTCGCTTCCTTGGTCCTTGATTCTTTGTGCCCCTGATGAAAGAACACAGTTAAGGATGATGTAAGAATACAACTCCTGCTCTGTTAGGAGTCACATGGGCGAGTTAGGGGTCCCACACATGGGGGAACCAAGTTGCGAACCAAAGGAAGAAGTTAGGAGAGTTTTCTTGGAAATCCAGAGGAGTGTAACTCCCAATTCCGCACAGTGGCCCTCCAGGCCTTTGGGTCAGGGCTACTTTATCCAGCAACCGGCGCAGTGTGCACGCTCGGAGGCGGAACTGCCTTCAGCCTGGGGATCCCGGGTTCCGCTCAGCTAATACTGACCAGCGGGAACCAGTCGCCCAGCAGGGATGCGGGGAAAGAAAAGGGCATTTTGGGGAAGGGATGGGAGTGTAGCTCTGCTCACCCACCCGGGTGACTGATGCCCGTCTGACGTCCCTGGACCACGTGGTGTTGACCATAGCATAGTCTCAAGCTACTACTTATCCCTGAAGGGGACACGTGGGTCCGACCACACCATGGAGCCTAAATCCCAGAGTCTTAGAATTTCTCTCGAGCTCCTGGAGATGTGGACAGGATAAGGGGGTCTGTGTGTCATGCGCAGTTGGCTTCGGCAGCTTGCAGAGCGGCCGTTAGGGGAACTGTCTGCCAGGCTTTGGCCAAAGCCAGGCCTGCAACCGGACAGTGGGGGCGTCCAACCGCGGGAGCCTAGCTCAGCTAGTGGAGGCCAAGGTGAGGCCCCGTTGATTCTCTGCATTGGGGTCACTCTTCTCTCCTCTCCTCCCATACATTCTGACTCTTGCTGAGGCGGATCCTTCTACCCTACACCCCATCCTTGCCTTTCCCGGCCCTTGATTTAGTTTCACTTTGAAATTAATCTGGGCTCTCAGTTGGTTTCGTTAGTCTCTTGCGTTTTGTAGAAATTTCCAGGCTAAGGTTGGTCTTTTTTCTTGTTTTTTTGGTACATGGCTTCGAACACACTACTTTGTTTTTCCCAGGCAGTCACTTGTGCCGCTAAGCTATATCCTCGCCCTTACTTTGGTTTTGTAAGTCGCTTTTCTTTCTTGTTTGTATTGCATTTTCTGCCTCGATTTGGAAATTAATCTAGTCTCCATTTACACCAGTTTACTATTTTTTCTTGGTTTGTGCTTTGGTCAGGAATGCGGTTGTCTTGTTTATGTCAGTGAGCAGCAAGCACCTCCGCCACCTTTTCTCTTTTTGTCTTTTTTCCATGTCTTTCTTTTTTTGAGACCGGATCTCTCTATGCAGTTCAGGCTGGCCTTGAGCTCACTTTGTAGCCTAGGCTGGTCTGGAACTAGCAATGATCCTCTTGCCTCAGCCTCCCTAGTGCTGCTCCATCTCCTTTTTTGTTCTCTTGTTAAATAACTAGTCTTATGATCCAAGCTTCTTTTCTTTCTATCTTTTTTAAGACAAGATCTTGCTGGTCTTAAACTCACTATGTGTCTAGGCTGGCCTCAAACTTAGGGGACTCCTCTTGTCTCAGCCTCCTAAGTGCTGGGATTACAGACATGTGTGGCTTCATTTGGCCTAGGCCTCTGATTTTAAATAATATATGAAATTATGGAAAACCAGAGGGAGGAACCTTTTGTTTTTCTGTCCCCTGGAAGAAAATTGTATGCAATCCCTTTAGGAAGTCAGAAGACTGTTGGATGACAGAGCTCCAACTGGAGGGCCAGGGCAGGGATTTTTGAGGCCTGGAATTGACCAGCTTTAACCTGTGGAGCCTGTAGGGAAGCAGCTGGAGGGCATAATCGCAGAGCCCAGTTCTTGGTGCTTTTTGCATTGGGGTGAATGAAAGCAATGTTTTCCCCTATGGCTTTACTCTGGTTAAGCAAAGGCCTCAAAGGACTGGAAATGCAAGTTGGATCATCGAGGGTGGATGGTGGCTCAGGAAACTTTGCTTGGGGAAGCTTTGCTTGTAAAGGGAGTTAAAGCATGAGGTGAGGCCAAGGAGTGCCTTCCTCCTCCTCCCAATGAGCTAAGGGATCCAAACCCAGAGGCCAACCCCCTTGGGGGCTTTAATCCATCCTTGATGAGAGCTGTTCCAGCTGTCCAGTCCAGATCAGGGTCTTCCCAGGGACGCTCTGTGAAGCCCAGGGTTCTCCTCCTCTGTAGGGTCCACAAAGCAGGGGTTCTTCTCTGCAGGACCCAGTCAAGCCAAAGGGAATCGTCTGGGATCTCGTCACACAATTCCACCAATTTCCCATCAGGCCGCATCTTTCATGAATGAAACAGGTTTGATCCTGACAGTTTAAAACAAAAACAGCTTATCTGCTGCTGTAATATGTTTGGGGTTCAATATGAACTGGGAGGAGACATTAGAAAAAGCCTTAAGGAGCCTAGATCTACAACAAGGAATCATCTGACAGTATGTAGATGGTATAGTAGTTCACAGCACAACTCAGAAACTAACCATAACACTGTACAAACTCTAACTTTCTGGCTTAGAAGGAATGTAAAGTCTGTAAAGAAAAGACTCAGACATATCTCCAAAAAGCTCAATATCTAGGAGAGGTTGTAATGCCTATTGAACAGGCAGCTCGATGGTCATTCTTTCCTTGTTATTTCCTGACAGGTCTGTCTTTCAACCCAGCCAGCGAGCCACAATACCCCAAGGTAGTCGGAGAGTCCCATGGACCCCCAAAATCTGTGGGGGTTACCCTCTTTGAGCACCCTGAATTGTGAAAAACCACAAATTTCAGAAGCAGTCAGAAAAATGCCTATTTTGATAGTTTAAACCCCAAATATGCTATATGTCTCCAGCAGATAAGCAATTAATTTCATAAAAGTACTGTAAGTAATAAAGCCTTAGAAGGTAGAAGGTGCTCTGGTGGCATCTTAGGGTTTAAGAAGAATAAAACCAAGAACATTGGAGATAGCCACATTGGGTTTGGCAGGGTGACAACGCAGGGAGGCTGGTGTGTCTGCGAGAGATGGGTTACAGGGCAGCAGCTGATCAGCGGCAAGAAGTGAACAGTGCTCTCAGGTTGGAAGCCTCCCATCCAAAAGATAACTGCAGAGGGTAGTTGGGGTTTCCATGGAATTGTGGGGGGTTCTTTAACGATTAGTTAGGTTCTGAGGAAAAACCTGTGACCGACTTAAGTGGCAAACTGAATCAGGACTTGGAGGGGGTGTACTTTACATAACCCATAACAGACAGGGTATACAGCCCCTCCCAGTTTGAAGAAGGTGTAGCAGACAGAGATCACTGCTCCTTTAGCACCCCATCAGGACTTAAGGGGTTTACATCTCTCAAGGAGAAATAACACAGAAGGTCAGGTGTAGCAGAGCTGGCTGGGAAAGTAAGTGGGACCTGTCAGTTTCCAGGTCCCAAGGCTAGGGATGGAGTTCAGCAGTGCAGCACATGCCAATGTGAGGATCCCAAGGTGGGGCCAGGTCACTCAGGACCCTGCGTGCAGAACTTCTCTTGAGCTCCCTATAGGCACTCGGCATGCAGCACGTCTGTTGTCACTGTGTATCTTTTCCCTCTCAGTTTGGCCCAAGTTTGCTCTGCTGAGCTAGTTCTTCCCTTTCTCCTTTACTCCTCATTTCGAAATAAGCCTTTGGCACTATTGTTTTAGCTTTTCTCATCTAATTCTTTGAGACAAGAAGGACCAGGAATACTTCTGTTTGGTGCGTCACTTTCACAGGAGCAAGGGCTGACCTTCCAGAACACCAAATGGGAGCCCTCTTCACGGGACTGGTAGGGTGACAGTCCCAAGTTCTGAAGCCTGGAAGGGTGTCTGCCTACAGTGAGGTCTCTGCTCAGAAAAAAATGGGGTCTCAGGTCGGGGAGGTAGAAGTTGAGGATTAACCCGTTGAAGCTAAGGACACCGAAGTCCTAAATTCTGATGAGATTATCTGGCCAGAGGAAAAGGTTTCCGGACCCTCGGTGACAGTTTTCCCCATCTCTTTCCCCTCCGCCTCTGCCTGAGGGAACAAATCCTGTGTTGCCATGGGAACTGGCTGCTCCCTTGCAGTTATCAAGTGAGGCAGCTGACACTCCTCGGCCTACCCTGCCATCTACTTCTGTGTGGCTTCCTGTAACCAGGCTAAAATGGCATAATGCTCTCCAAGTTGAGGTACACAGTGTAACCCATGAGGAGGTATAGGTATGCAGCAGCCCCAAAGGAACTTCTGGAATTGCCTAATTCTTATGAGCAGAGATCTGGGGATCAGGTATAAGAATGAATTTTGAAATTGTCATATAATGGTGGAAGGAACCTAAACCCAGATCAGGGTGAATTTTTTTTTTTTTTTTGATATGAGTACATTAAGTCGAGATTCAGGGGTTAGTGTTAACAGCTTGTCAAGTTAAAATGTGTTACTAGTTTACTTGGTTTCCTGACAAGCATAGCTCAAAAGATGGCTGAGTAAGCTGGAAGTGCCTGGTGTCCCTTGGTTTTCTGTAAATGAGGCCACTGGAAAGTACAAGCAGATGGGAGCTCTGGGGCATCTGCCAGGTAAAACCTGACCCTCAACACTGGGAGTCCAGAAAATGCCCCCTTCGCCAGTACTTGAAGACACAGGTTTTTGAAGGGAGCCCCAGCATCCCAGAAGAATTCTGTCATTGCTCTTCTCTGTGCCAGAGCTCATAGTGGGGACCATAGGCAGTCAGCTAGTAAGATTCGATCTTGCAGTGCAGGGTCAAGTGGCAGTGCTGAATTGCCAAGGGCAAAGTGGTGGGCATTCTTAACATCATGGGCAGGAGAAGCAAAGCAGTGACAGGGATGGTGTGGCGTTGGCTAATTAAAAATGGTATTCCAGGGGATGATATAGCTAGCAAACCCCACATTTTCACTGAATCTAGATAATCAGAAAAATTTTAGGACAAATGAACAAAGACCTTCCTTAAATCATAACACAGAGAATTACAGACCCTTCAGTGAATTCTGAGACGTGTCTAGAGACCCAGAACCCTCCAGTGAAGGGAAGGCCAGGTCCTCTTGAGGAAGGACCCTGGTACACTACCAAAAGTGTATTATTAATCTTTTCCCATCCTTCCTAACAGGGTAACTACAATGAAAAGACATTTTGGGAACTATTGGACATGGGTCCTGAACTAATGTCGATCCCATGAAGAACTAAAATATAATCGTGGCCCTCCTCTAGGAGTCTATCAGGTTGTATGGTTTGTGTCTGATGTCCCCTCAAGCCTTGAGGAAGGGGCAGGCTTTTTGGGTGCTGCTGAATGTGGTTTGTGCTTTGTTCATTGTCTAGTGCTGGGAGGGGGAGTGAGTATTATCCCCCCCACAGGGCAGGGAGCCTGTGTACAGTTTAAGGACAGGAAGAGAGGCTGCTTCCCTCTTTTGCTCTTGTTGCTTTTGCTGTCTTCCCCTGCCATGAACTGTTGCCCCTGTGCCATGTCACCCTGGCTTGGCTGATTATGGACTGAAAGCTCTACGAACTGTGAGCTAAGTAAACCTCTCTACCTTTCACTTGGGGTGTCAGATATTTTGTCTCAACAGTGAGAAAAGTAACCAAGACACAGGGTCAAGTGCTCAGTGGTGTTTTAGCCAGATCCAACTCACAGCACATCCAGCAGATCCCCAAATCCATCCTTCGGTCATTTTTCCAGTTCCAGGTTGCGTACTTGGGATACATGTTCCTATACCTGTCAGGATACAGGAAAAGATGAAACACAGGTTCAGGCCAACAGCACAGGTTCATTTCGGAACAAACCTGACAGGAATAGCAATAGTGCTGGTGACTAGACCAGGAACTCTTGCGTAGGTGATGGGGTCTTTTGTAGGGTCATGGGGCAGAGGGAATTCAGGGAAAAAGGGGGTGCCTACCTGCCAAGAACAAAGCTTGAGAGAGCGGGAGCAGCAGTGGCTGCCCAAGAACAGGGTTTGGGAAAGCACAGGGCAGATAAGGTCTCAAGCCCCCAGGTGCAGCTGTGCTGGGGTCTGGCAGGTTGGATCAGGATGGCACTGGTTGGGGTCCTTCAGTACCTACCAAAATTTGGCTACATGAAGGTCTTAGTCATCCTGTAGGCTTTGCCTAGAATCCCTGAACTGAAAAGTTTGGGGACATTTTTCTTTTTTCATTGTGGAAATGCATTAATTTTCTGGCACCGCATCAGGCAGGTGACTACAGGTCTGGCGCCATACCTAGTGAGTCTTCAGGGCAGCATGGTGTGGCCAGACAGGCTTTGGCATCTCTCCAGAGGTCGATGGCATTTCCTAGTTGTGTATGAATGGTTTAACAGAGATGTCCAGGTCATCACTTGCCCCTTCTACCCTGGTGCCCTACCCTGTTCAGTTTCCGGCTGCCTTGAACTATGCCCCTTATTCCACCATCTGCTTCCACTATGATGTTTTCTTTTTCTTTTTGTTGCAGGTTCTTTGCAAAGCGATTGTGAAGAGGACTGGAAGCACACGGTAGGAGTTGCACTTTAACACTTCCAGTTAGGTCAAGACGTGTCTTCTAGAGCCAGGATGCAGCAATCCATTATGTACCAGGCATTTTCTTCTGTACTAGGGATTGAGTCAGGCCTTGGGGATGAGATGACCTGACAGACAGGGATGCTGGCCTGATACAGAGTGGGTAAATGTGAAGTGACTGTCATGAGCCACTGCAGGGAAGGGAAGGATGTGCTAATGGGACTGGAATTGGGATCCCGATCAGACTCACTGTGGGAAAGAGAAAGAGTACTCCTCAAGGGGTCTGCCTGCAGGGAGAGCGAAGAAGAGAGGAGGAAAGGTGTCCAAGGCAGAAGAAACAGCAGGCCAGGCCTGAAGTGGGGAGCAGGAATGGGAAGATGTGAGGGGCTGTGGTGGAGAAAGCAGTCCCAGGGCTGGCAGAAGCAGCCTTGCAGATAACTATTTTCTCTTGGCAGTGTTTAGATAGGAGCCACAGTCACACTGCTGAGACAGACCTGCACACCAAGGCATTTTTCTTTTTTTTTTTCAGCACAAACTTGGAGCTTTTCTGGGCAAGCTGAAGTATAATCCCAGCCTGTGTTTGCTTTGGGATCAATTGTAAACTATACTGGAAGATATAAGTAGTAGTCTTCTTTTTTCCTTTTGTCTTTTTGAGATAGGGTCTTGCTATGTGGTTCAGGCTGGCCTTGAACTCACTTTCTAGCCAAGACTGGTCTCGAACTTGCAGCAATCCTCCAGCCTCACCCTCCTGAGCGCTGGGATTTCAGGTGTGTGCCACCATGCCTTGTGTAAGTAGAAGTCTTAATGTTCCCTAAAGATATCTGATGCTAATCACTGAAAATGTCAGTAGAAAAATGTCAGTGGATATCCAAACTTGTGGCTTGCCTGATCTGCATTAATGAAGTATTATCATGGGCCACATATAAAATATTCTGAATACAAAAATTAAGTGTTTTAATATTAGAAATGTTTTAGGGGTTGGGGATTTAGCTCAGCGGCATAAGCGCCTGCCTTGAAAGCAGGCAGTCGTGAGTTCGATCCCTGGTACCGATAAAAACGAAAAAGACAAAAAAAAAAAAAAAAAAAAAAAAAAAAAAGAAATGTTTTATATGCAGTTATAATATGAGCAAAAAATGGATCTGATACATTTTTATATTTACAACCACAACTGCTAAACAACTAATTTTTTCTAAAAAATATTTTATTAAACCTGTATATAAATTTTGGAAGTAAGGCCATTTGACAGTATTGGCTTTGCCGATCCAGAACGGAACATCTTTCCATTTTCTGGTATCCTCTTTGATCTCCTTTTTCAGGGTACTATACTTCATAGTAGAGGTCTTTCATTTCCATGGTTGGGTTAACTCCTAACGTGTTTAATATTCCTTGATGCTATTGTGAATAGAATTTTCCTAATTTTTGTCTCAGTGAGTTCACTAATGATTTACCCAAATGTTACTGATTTTTGTGTGTTGATTCTGTTTCCTGTAAAAAAGAACTGTTGTTGCTTATCACTGTTAGACAGACCTGGCTACCACAGTCTACAGTCCATGACATCAGGAAAGGAAATGTTCTTTAAAGATCTTTATGCCAGGAAGAGGGCTTGAAGGGAAGGAAGGGGAATGGGAGGGGAGACCAAGATACATCACGTACAGGTACAAAGTCTCTTTTATGAATGTTATCATTATATGTATCTAAAATGTACCAATAAAAATTCAAAAAGGAAAAAAGCTACAAGAATATGATTAGATAAGAAGGGAAGAAGGCTTGAGGGGGAGGGTCACGGGAGGCCTGAATGCAACGCGCTGTGATGTGACGCGATGCGATGCAGCGCGCACATGGCGACCCCCCGGCGTTAAGCTGAGGGAAGGGCAGGCCGAGCAGGGTACTGCAAAATGAAGCGAAGACCCTCCTGCCTTGGCTGGGACCTGGTTTACATTAAGAATTGATCTTCTGTAACTTTCCTACATGATTAAAGCCCGGAAGCACTAATCATCTAGAAAGGAGAGAAAACATTTTGCAATTCCAGTGTTACTCCTTTTCTTTTCTTTTTCTTCAGTCAGATTTTATTGGTACATTTTAGATACACATAATGATTACATTCATCATAAGCTTTTTTTTTGGTATCAGAAATTGAACTCCTACCTTGTGCTTGCCAGTGTGCCGCTGAGCTATATCCCCAGCCCACATCATAGAAAACTTATACCTGTCCATGATATAATTGCTTTTTTGTGTGCACTTTTAAACAACTTATTTAACTGACATGACCTCCATTTATTTCACTGAAGTGACTTCCACTTACTTTGATTTCCTCTTTTCCCCATTGTGACTTACAGTGTCTTTGAAGCCGATATAAGTATTTCATAAATAATTGGCCTTTTGGGTACGCACCTACACAATACCTCAGCAATGTCTTTCAGCAAGTAAAACACTAGAGTGAAGACCTGACCCCATTAACCATGTAGAATGAAAATCTGCTCCAAATGTTTGTTTCTGAGGTAAAAGCACCACAGACCGATTGAATTAAGAAAACCATCCCCATAACAGGCTGGTTTTGTATTGTTAAGTGAGGCCTAGAACACTTGGCCACCAATGAGGCACTGAATGGCAGAGCTCCCTCCCCAGCTTGGGCAGTGAATTCACAGAGAACAGATTCCAGCATCTCAGGCTCCTTCCCGTTAATTCTCACGGAAGTGCGCTTTCTGGGCAGGGCAGCCTGGAGCTTCACTTGAACCCAGGTTCTTTTCTCTTTGGCTTCCTTTTCTTCCACACGTTTCAGGAAGCTATTTTACCGAGTGTTTAACATGCTCAATGCGTATACTGGTCCTCTGGGCCAGTATCTTACCCTTAACTTGCTTGTTTACAGCAGTGCCTGCAGCATGCTGCATAGCACGTAGACGCTTCCTGTTTTGCCATGGTTATATTTGTGTGGCATTCCTTTTTGCATAGTACCCATTCCTTTGATGTCTACAATATTGCTCTTTTTGTAGATTCACATATACGTGGCCAAAGAAACAACCCCATTTTTTCTAAAAAGGCCTAGAGAACACATACCGGGATCTCTTCCTCTTTCCCTTTGTGTTTATCATTTTAGCAAATCACTGGAAAATGGCAATTCTGGCCTAGAGGTTTGAATCGTTTATTCCCCCATTCCTCAACCCTCGCTTCAACTCCTCCTCTCTTCCCTATTAACAAAAGTTTTCATTTCTTCTTTTTTTCATTTTTAAAAATTTTCCCTTCTTTCCTTTCCCCTTCCTAATGTTCCTCTCCCTATTTGACAATATCTAATATGCATTTTCATCCTTAATTACACTTTTAGTTTCTCACACCAGAGAATCAATGCAGGATTTAAACGTATGTCTAATTATCTCACTTAAGTGTATGATCTCAACCTGCATCCATTTACCTAGAATGACTCATGCTTCCTTATGGCAGAATAGTACTTCTCAGTGTAACTTCTAAGTAAAATGCTGGTAAGCATCAGTTATCCCAGTTCTACTCTAATTGGATGGAAAATATAGAACAAACGGACAGATTCCTAGATAGCTACAAATTACCAAAGCTGAATCAAGAAGATATAAAAATTCTAAATAACCCAATACCAGTCAATTGAAAATGTAATTAAAAACTTAAAAGCCCAGGTCCTGATGGATTCACAGCTGAATTCTACAAGAAATTTGGAGAAGATTTAAATGAATACTAGTCAATCTCTCTCTTTTTTTCTTTTCAAAGAAAAATGACACTGAAAGGAAAGCAATACTCTCTAGCTCATTCCTGGAGCTACCCTGGTACTACCTTGATACCAAAACCAGAGAGAGACTCAACTAAAAAAGAGAACAGGGCTGGGGTTTTAGCTCCGTAGCATATGCATCTGCATGGCAGGTGCAAGGTCTTGAGTTTGATCCCTGGTACAAAAACAAAAAACAAAACTACAGACCAGTTTCTCTGGCTAATATATATGCAAAAATCCTCAATAAAATACTAGCAAATAAAATGCAGCAAATCATCAAGGAGATATATACCATGACCAAGTGGGATTTATCTCAGAAATTTAGAGATGGTTGAATATATGCAAATCAGTAAATATAACACACCAAATCAACAGAGCTAAAGACAAAAATCTCATGATCAATCTCAGTAGATGCAGAGAAAGCTTCTGATAAGTCCAACATTCAGTCATGATAAAAATCTTACAGAAAGGGGGCTGGGGATTTAGCTCAGCGGCATAAGCGCCTGCCTTGCAAGCAGGCAGTCGTGAGTTCGATCCCCGGTACCGATAAAAAAGGAAAAAGACCAAAAAAAAAAAAAAAAAAAATCTTACAGAAAATGGGAATAGATGGCGTTTAACCTCAATCTGATAAAACCCATACATGACAAACCAACAGCCAACATTATACTAAATGGATAAAAACTGAACGCTTTCCCTCTAAAATCAGGAACAAGACAGGATGTCCACTATCACCACTCCTATTCACTATAGTTCTGGAAACAATAGCCAGAGCAACTAAACAAGAGGGAGAACTAAAAAGAATAAGGATAGCAAAGAAAGATGTTAAATTATCACCATTCTCAGATGACATGACACCAAATGACCAAAAACACCAAAAGACATAGATTTAATAACTACATTCAGTAGCATAGCTGTATACAAAGTCAACACAAAGTAAAAAGTCAGTAGCATTCCTGTACACAAACAACAAACTCATTGAGAGAGAGACTCAGGAAATGACACTTCACAATACCATCCTCCAAAAATGAAACACTTAAGTATCAATCTAACAAAGGGCTAAAGGATCTATATATTGAAAATTTCAATGCTATGAAATGAGATCTAACAGGATATTCAAAAATGAAAAGATAACTCTTGCCCATGGATAGGAAGAACAAACATAATGAAAAATGACCATATTCCCAAAATTGTTACACAGATTTAATGCAGTCACCATCAAAATACCAGCAGCAGGGCCAGGGATATAATTTGGTAGTACCGTGCCTGGCAAGTGTGAGAATGTGTTTGATTTCCAGTAATGAACAAAACAAAAAAAAAACATTAGCATATCTCACAGAACTAGAGAAAACATTCCAAAAATTCATCTGAAACCAGGAGAGACCTAGAATAGCAAAGGCAATCCTGGGCAACAAAGGCAAGACAGGAGACATCACAATCCCTGACTTGAAATTATACAACAAATGCTGATAAAATGAGCATGGTACTGGCAAAAAAAGACCCTAAAGGCCTGCGGAACAGATTAGAAGTTGCAGACACAAATATAAATATGTTCAGCCACTTAATCTTTGACAAAGGGGTCAAACATGTTCATTGGAAGACAGTTTAATAAATGGTGTTGGAAAAACTGGTACTCTACATGCCAAAGACTAAAACTAGACCCATGGCTATGACCATGCATTATACTCAAAATGGATCAAAGACCTAAATACTAAAACGGAAACACTACATCTACTGGGAGACAAAATAGGTAGAAATCTTGAAGACGTGTAGGTATAGAATTCATGAAGAAGACCCAGACAGCATGGGAAATAGTTAAAAAAAATCAACTGGGATCTCATCTTCTTAAAAAGTTTTTTATGGCAAAAGAAATCAACAGTGTGAAAAGAAAACGCACACAGTGGGAAAAAATTTCAGCCAACTGTCCCTCAGACTTCTATCTAAAATTGAAAGAACTGAAAATCATCAGACCCTCCCCAAATTCAAAGACCTCAATCCAAAATTGGGCATCTGGGATGAATACACACCTCACAAATGAAGAAATACAAATGGCAAATCAATCTATGAGAAAATATTCAACATCATAGGTCATTCAAGAGTTAAAAACTAAAACGAGATTCCATCTCACCCCAGAAAGAATGGCTGTCATCAAGAAATCAACCACTAACAAATGCTGGAGGGGCTGTGATGAAAAAGGAACCCTTCTCCACTCTTGGTGGAATGCAGCCTGGTGTGACTACTCTGGAAATCAGTGTGGAGATGCCTCCAAAAAGTAGGATTCTCCACTGTTGGTGAAAGTGTACACTGGTGCAACCAATTGTGGAAATCAATGTGGAGATTTCTCAAAAA